AGAATCTGAGAGATTGTAAAGAAAGTAATTACTTTTCTTAAAATAGGTTTTAGATTTCTAAACAGACTGCCATGATGAGTAATATTATTTTATTTTAACTTTTTAAACTGCAGAGGAACCACTTTTTTCCTGTGATTTCTAAGATTTCTTGGGAACCTGGGGAGTTAAGTCTTTATTTATAGCTATTTTGACTATACTTAATGCCAGATTCCAATTGCTTTCCAGTACAGGAACTGATTACAACTCTAGCTATCAAGCCTGATAGTAAATGTGTGAGGTGGAATGAAAGCTCATCCAGAGGTTTAGTGTTTTTCCCTTGCCAGGTAGTGTGCAAAGGAAGGCTGAATATTAATTAGTAGCCTACACATGACTCATGGCTTTTGCAGCTCTGTTAAGAGAGGAGGAGGTCATAATCTAACGTTTCTCTCCCTCAACTTGGCAGTTTCAAAAAGTGTTTCCAATTGAGAGCCCCAGGGATTCTGGTACAAAAATGTTGAAAACCTTAAACTAAAGCAGTATGTTTATTTAAAAAAATATTATAGAGGACTCTGGCCTACCTAAGGGAGTTCAGGAAAATCCAATTTTATAACCTCTCAAAGGCTTCTTGACCAGAGGTTTCTATTTGATTTAATCTACATCCGTAGATGTTCTATAATTGAATAACAAGTCATTTATGAAAGTTACTGATGTATTTCTAACAATGACTCAAAAGGCCCTAGCTTTAGTCTCTCTTTGTCTCTTTTCAAGGGCAGTAATGGAAGATTTTCACTAAATGTTCTACCTCAAGAAGGATTTGGTGTGGGGGGCATTTTTCTAAATAAAGCTTTATTGGAATACAGCCTCACATACCTGTTTACATTTTCTCTATGCCTTCTGTCTGTTACAATGGAAAAGTTGAATAATCCCAACAGAGACCATATGGCCTGCAAAGTAAAAAATATTAAAGGAAGATTTTTAATGTCTGTCACCTGTTGCAAGAGAGAATTTAAGTAACAAGAGCTTATGAGCAGGATGTTTGTATGTCAATTGGATATAAGTATCCCATTAATAGTTTCACTTAATTTATCCCGCAGGAATTCTGCACAGGGGATATAGCAAAAGCTAGAGAACAAAGAGAGGTCATGAAAACTAGGCGTGCAGAACAGAAGAGAGGACACTTAACATGGTAGGAACAGCATATTTAACAAAGAAAGAGAGCCTATTTTTCTCGACTCTCTGAATAGTTCCTAGCTTGTGGTGCTTATAAATAGATTGATGTGAACTTGGAAATATTTGGTATGGCATGGAAGGTAGTTCATTACAGGTAGCCTCTTCTAGACATGAATCAGTACTGCTCATATGCCAGAAAACTCCAAAGACACAGCAGCTATGTCTGCTTCTCAGCAGTACTCAAGAAATCTATTCCAGCTGCTTACATCATACCTCCACTGAGAAATATTGGAAGATAAAGATAGTTCAAAACTGTTGAAGGTAAACTTTGAGCCTTTGTTTCACCACAAAGCTCATCCACAAAGGCAAAAATACAGAAATTATTTTTGTGGGATAAACTCAGATCACATTTTGGTTCCTGTGGACTTGTTTTCATTTTCTTAACTTTAAATTTTAACATGCAGATAAGGTAATTATTTGTTCTACAGTCAGCCCCAGTCTATTTTGACTGTTAATATTGAGCATCCCCAACATCTACTTTCCACAGACATAGTAAACCTGTTTTTTATGTGTCCTGTCAGGTTAGATTCATGTATATATTCACTGTTACGTTCTTCTTAAAGCAAATATTTACAAGGAATAAAATCACTGATTGTACAAAATTTCATTAGTTGATCTCCAGCCTTGTTTCTTTTACTAGACCATATGAAAAGGACCGGTCCGTCCTTCTTTGTTTCCAATTTTTATAATTTATTGTTGTTAGGTGTCGTTGAGTCATAGACAACTCATAGCAACCCTATGAATGAAAGACCTGAACACTTGTATAACTTTCTTAGTTTCTCTACTTTCACAGAGTTTCTGGAGACAAGCTATTTCGGAAGTGGATGTCATTTCTGCTTCCAAGTTTGTGGGGGTTTTTTTGGTTTTTTTTCATTTTGAAATCAGGGAGCTCCACCAAACACTGTCCACCATGGATAACCATTATCACATTTAACACATTAGTGTCAACAGTGTTTAGCATCACAGCAATCACAATATTTAGTCACAAATTATTACTAATGCATCTTGATTTCATCTTTGATAAATTTTAGACTGGTTAAGTTGTAGAAATCTCCCCTGTATTTCTTCATCCTTGGCTTTAGTGTCTGGTGTGTTTATTTGGATAATTGTATTAACTTGTCATTCATATGTGTGTGTGTGTGTGTGTATATGTATATATATGTATGTATATATGTGTATATACACACACACACATATATAAACATTCAGATCATTTCACTTCAGGATAGATCTTGAAATGCTGCGTTTTTTGCTCTGAATGTGACACCTTTCCTCTTCAATTTGTAATTTCCAATACAGGTTGTTGTTGTTGTTGTTTGGTGATGTTGAATCGAGTACAGCTCCTAACAACCCTATGAGCAAAAGACCTTAACTCTGTTCTACCCTGTACCATCCTCACACTTTTTGACACACAAGAGCCCATCGCAGCAGTCACCATATCAATACAACTGGTTGATGGTCTTCCTCTCTTTTGCTGACCTTCTACTCTTCCCGGCATCATGTTCTTCTCCAAGGAATAGTCCCTCCTAGTGACATGCCCAAAGTGTGTGTGGTGAAGCCACCTCATTCTTGCTTCCAAAGAGCACTCCAGCTGCACCTTCTCCAAGACATATTTGTCTGTTCTCATGGCTATCCATGGAATGTTCAGTGTTCTTCTCCAACACCAAAGCTCAAACCCATCAAAGCTCCCAGATGCATAGCAAGCAATCAGAAAGACCATGACCTGAATCAGATGCACGTTAGTCCTCAAACTGACATCATTACACCTCAATAATTTGGACAGGGCCCTAACTGCAGATTTTCCTACTGCAGTACATCCCTTATTTCCTGACTGCTGGTACCAAGGGTGTTAATTGTGGATCTAAGCAAGATTCATCTTGTTTGTGTTATATAACAGTATCCTGTGAAAATAAAATCTAGAGTCTACTGAAAATGACTGGATGATTAGATTGACATGCAACTGCCAGACATTCAAGTTTGATTCAGAACATGACATGGTAAAAAGGTTATGTCAGATGGATCTTGGTTAAAAGCAAAGGATATCAGAACAATGTTTACATGTGTATTATTTATTATTCAAAGGTATTTGACTGCATGGATTATAACAAATTATGGATCACATTAAGAATGAGAATTTCAGAACATTTAATTGTGCTCATCTGAAACCTGTATGTAGACGGGGAAGCAGTTATCCAAACAGAACAAATGAACACTTGATGGTTTAAAATCAGAAAAGCTGTGTCAAGGTTGTATCCTTTCTCCATTTCTATTTAATTTGTATATATGGCATCAGGATTGGAGGAAGACTCCTCAATAACCTGCTGTATGCAGATGTCATTATCTTACTTGCAAAAAGCACTCCATCTACACCTTCGCCAAGACATATCTGTCTGTTCTCATGGCCATCCATGGAATATTCAGTGCTCTTCTCCAATACCAAAGCTCAAAGCCATTAAAGCTCTCAGGTGCATAGCAAGTAATCAGAAAGACCATGAATCAGACGCACATTAATCTTCAAACTGATATCATTACTCCTCAAGAATTAAAAAAACTTGAAATACTGAAGAAGATCAAAGGCTACAGCATTCAATACAGACTAAATCTCAACATGAAAAAGGAAAAATAAAAATATCCTTATCACTGGACCACAAAACAATACCATGATTGGTAGATAACGGATTGAAGTTGTTGGTGGTTTCATTTTACCTAGATTCACAATCAACACCCATGGTTATAGCAATCAAAGACTTCTTATATTCGGGAAATCAACTGTCAAGGACCTCTCCAAAGTGCTAAAGAACCGGGACGTTGAAGAATAAAGTGTATACTTTCGTTTTCACACTGGATCTTTCCCCTTTCCTTTACCCATCAGTATACACCAAAAATGAGGTTTTATGGGGTTTTTAGTTTTGATTTTTTTTAAAGACTAAAGTATGTCTGATCCAATCCATGGTATTTTCAATTGCTTTGCATGCACCTGAATAATGGATAATGAAAAAGGGCGGCTAAAGAAGAATAGAATTGTGGTGTTTGCAAAGAGTACTAATTATCCAGTCTGTCTGTGCCCCTTAAAAGACAGCATGATGAAACTTCTTTTCACATACTTTGAGCATGTTGACATGAGGGATACTGGGAAAGGTAGAAAGTTGGTAAAAGATAAGAAGACCTTTAACAAGACAGACCGAAACAGTTACTTCAAAAATAGACTTGAGCATGACAAATTATGGCAATGATGTAGGGAGTAAGGTTCAGATCTGTTGTCATTATTAGTCATGGTCTACTCAATATCACTTGACAACCACAATAATTTTGTTTTCTTAATATAAATATTTTTATTGTGTTTTGATGAAAATTTACACAAAAAATTGGTTTCAATTTAATATATACCTATTTCCAATAGATAACTCTTACTCCAAATAAAGGAACTCTGGTGACCTAGTAGATAAGGAGTTGTGCTGCTAGCTCAGCGAGGCAATATGAATAAACTAGTTTCTCTATGGGAGGAAGATGGGCACTTTCCTCCCACACAATTCATAACCTCTGAAAGCCTCCTCTGGTGCATTCTACAACCTCTAAAAATCTGCTGGAAAGGATCAGTTGTGATTTAGTTCCACAGAACAACAAGAACAACATTGTTCCAAGATGGTATTGCAGCATAGTGTGTAATATGCCAGACTGTGAACCAAAGAGTCAGCATCTCAGATGTACCAGCTGCTCCTTGGGAGAAATATCCGTAAGTGCCATCTTTCTTCCACAAAAGCACTCTTAATCATGACCCTTCAGACACTTACTTGCCCAACCTTCTTCTGTGAGCTTATATACAGTTAAAGGTTCATACACCAATGAATATAATTCAAACACCTAAACCAAGCGTACTGAGAGAAATAGTTAAATTGGGAAATGGAGAGGCCAGGTCCTGCTCCTTATCCCTTAAATAGGTATATAGGACTGTAGGATCCTGTGGGCTCTTGTAGACAGCTTAGTCTTTTTTTTTCAATCAGGTTGCAAGTATAGAGTCTATTGTCTTGAAACCATGCAAAGAATACATATGTATTTGAATCTGACTTGTCTTAAGGTAATTTTTAAAAATTTTTTAATATATGTTTTTCAATTTTATGGTGGTTTGCTTACAAATTTTGTATGCAATTTGTTTCACCCTGTACTTACTATGTTTCATACAATCATTCCCATACATTATGTTTTATAAAACTAATCACCCTTGAATCTTGAACATCATTACTCTGTTTTTTCATCCTGATCCGTCCTATTTCTTTTACAGTCTCCCTCTACATAGGTCCCAGATAATATTTTTATTTTTGAATCCTTATAAAGGCCTAGCCCAGAGAAAAATTTCATGATCCCACAACAAAATTTTTGTATTATTTTAAATGAAAATAAATTAAAAATACACTTACTCATGACTCTGACTTATGATGGCCTTCCATCATGCTTCTGAAGCTAAAATTCTTTATGGGAAGGACTGCCTCATCTTTCTCACAAAGAGTGACTGATAGATTTGAACTGCTGATCTTTCAATTTGCAGCCCAACACATAATGCTTCATGTCACACAGACTCCTTTAAAAAACATGTCAGACCTAGGTAAGAAAACATAGAAATAAATGTGATACTGATACACGTGTTTTTCACTTGAAGGATTGAACTATTCGATGGTTCTTTAAAACCATATTGTAGCGGCATGGCTATATATTTACTGGCCCTAGAGTTTGTCCTCCTAAGAAAAGATTGAAATAATTAAGACAGGTAAATTTTAGAAAGTTAATGGATTTACTGAACACAGATTGGACTCATCATTTTTATTTAATCTGTGGATAGTTTTATAAAAACCTATTGCCATGGTGACAAATTGTAAATTTGAAGACCCAAACTCATATTAAAGATTGTTAATAACTCTTTCACACAGTTCCTTCTTCTGCTTTTATAAAATAAAAGCCTCTAAGTAAGATGGCATGGAATTAGGGATATTATTTCATGTTTCCTTCAAAGTTATAGGAAGGATATAAGTTGTCTCCATTTTTGCTCTTGTTTTGTAAAGAATTCACCACACTGACTTGCATGTTTATTATGAATCATATAATCTTCTGGGTAGAGGGAGGGTTCTGGAATGAAATGTTCTCTGTTTTCTATTTATTTAGACTGCAGGAGAAAAAATTAATTCAGAGGAGGCATTGATCTATGAAGAGGATTTAGATGGAGAAGATGGTGTAGAAGGTGAGCTGGAAGAAAGCACAAAGTTGAAATTGTTCCGCAGGCTTGCCTCTGTGGCATCCAAGCTAAAGGAGTTTATTGGCAACATGATAACAACTGCTGGGAAGGTGGTGGTAACGATTCTCCTTGGTTCATCAGGTGAGCATTCCGGTATGAATTGGAGCAGAGGAAAAGACTTGAGGAGAACTGATAAAAGTGAAAGAAATGATAGAAAATTTTAAAAAGTAAATTTTATTTCATGTCACTAAACGAGTGACCGATTTCTTGTGACACTGGTCACATTTAAGCACATCACACACACACCCACAAATCATTAAGTTCTTGTTTTGTTGGTATTAGATGTTTTAGTTTTGTTAATCTCTGTGAAGCAATCTTTTCCATATCTTAGTGGCTTAATTTTTATTTTTTTTACTACAATAGCAACTCTCTTGATTAGGTTGTCTGAATGTTCTCTCTGATATTTAGTAATCTGAGTGTGCACTGGTCACAACCTCTACATGTGTATTTTAAAGGGACATGTTTACATTGATCTATCTTAATATAACTTTCCAGGATATAGTGGGGGTTTTTTAATTGCTAAATCAGATTATAATCTTTCAGTGCAGATGCACACTTCCTCTTAAATTTGGCCAGGAACAGTTTATTCCATAGTAATGTTATCTTGATCTTTTACCGCCTACTTTCATTGCACTTTTGACCACTGCTCCAGAGCTCTGCTTGTAATGATTATTAGTCAAGACTTTCCCAAAGCATCGCTTCTCGGCCTTTTGGCTAAGATCAAGTGAAGACTTTCCCAAAGCACGTAGCTGAAATTTCACAGGGTGAAACAATTTAATTGGTATAAAAGGAGAGAAACATAATTTCCCAAAAACATAACAATATCTTAATGGCAAATCACTTCAAAATGACAAACTTATTTTAAGATGCCTATGTAATAGCTTATCTTGGAAGGAGGAGTGGCATCCACTTCCATAAGAGCTTGCCTCCTAAAACTCTATGAACCTGGAGAGAGGATGAGAGACACCCAAGAGTTGAGGACTCTCCTTCATAGGGTCGCTATGAGTTGCCTGCGACTCAACTGCACTTAACAACAACAGCATAAATAAGTTATACCACATTTTACATAGTTTCTTTTTTAATTTTTTACATAACCTCTTTTGATGATAGGAAAACCAAATTTTGTCAAGTGGGACAAAGTTTTAGTGAAGCTTTAACGGTTATACTGAAACCAAACCTGTTGCTATGCAGTCAATTTTTATTCCAAGCAACAATCTTTGAAAATAAAAATATTCACTGCTACTGAAGTTCTCACTCATAGCTGATCCTCCAGTGGGTTTGCAAAGTTATGAATGACACAGGAGAAGACTACTGTCCACATTTCTTCCCCAGAGCAACTGGTGGGTTCACAGTGCTAGAGAAGCAAAGTAAGAATCCACCCACTATGCCTCCAGAGCTCCCTAGAAATGTTGGATAGAATGTATTATTATTATAAATGTATTATTATTATTATTATTATTATAAATGTATTATTATTATAAATTATTATAAATTCTAGTTAACCAGAACAGTGGATCATTACAAAGAAAATGAAAACTTATCTTTGAAGAGAAAGTTTGAAGGCATATATAATTTCCCAGAAATTTTTCAGATGAAATCAAGCAAGAAATTATGTCATTTCTAATGGTGTGAAAAGTAACTGTTTCCAGTACTCAGACACAACAAGTATGTAAGAGGAACTTGTTCATCTTCTCTTTCTCTTATAAATTGATACTTCATGTATATGTTCTTCACAATTTCTGTGATTATCTAAATAATAAAAAGAAATTTGGACAAATCATAACAAGCTCATTGCTATCAAGTCCATCTCCTTCCATTAGATGTCCTAGGATGTGATGTTTGTGGGAGCCAACTGGCTGTCTCACTCCTGAGGAGCAGCTGATGACTTCCAGCCACTAACCATTCAGTTAGCTGCTGAACATGTCACATACTGCACTACTAGGACTCTATTGTATAAATGTGATGTGCTTAATGCCTTAAATACTTAATTCCAAACAGTATGCAACATAAATTCACAATTAATTTCTCTTTAGTTACCTTTCTTATTGTTATTGTTGTGTGCCTTCAAGTCAGAATAAACCTATAACTGACCCTCCAGCAGGTTTTCAGAGGTGCTTTATCTTACAGAAAGTTATTGCTCATCCTTCTCCTGTGGAGCTGCTGGTGTATTTGAACCAATAGTCTTTGGGATTGCATTGCAGCTTCTTACCACTATGCCACTTTTATTGACTGGCAAATCATATTTAAGTTCTTTCCAATTTGTCATCATTTTCTTTCTTCTTCCTCAGGTATGATGCTGCCATCTTTGACCTCCTCTGTGTATTTTTTTGTGTTTCTGGGTCTCTGCACCTGGTGGTCCTGGTGCCGAACATTTGACCCATTGCTCTTCAGCTGTCTATGTGTCCTGCTAGCTATTTTCACTGCTGGACATTTGATTGGGCTTTACTTATACCAGTTCCAGTTCTTTCAAGAAGCTGTTCCACCCAATGATTACTATGCAAGGTAAGAAAACATTTAGAATATTCCAGTGAGAGTTCTCCCAGCCACCACTTTTTAGACCCTCTCCTTTATGTTCTTGATTTGGGATACTGAATTTGTTTACTTGAGATACTGAATTTCTTTATGCCATCAATTAATATGTTAAGCAAAGGTAAAGTAGAAGATCTCAGATAGATATACAGCTGGATCCATGAAAGGAGGGGATTTTCTTTTTGAAGCATATAGAACAGTAGAAAGAGATCCAGAAAGTCACTTATATATCAGTTCAAATGAATGCAGCAAAAATGACTTCTCATCGACCTTTTAAATATTACACAAATTGAACATGAAGAAGTACTATGAGGAATAAATTATAAGGAAATTAAATAAGCATTCGTGAGTCTATAGTGAGTGAGTGAGAGAGACAAACAGATAGATGCAAACATACACATACATGGAGGAGGGCAAAGAGATAAACCTAGTAATTTGGCTTGTTTGGAAACTACACTATTACACTACCTCATTATTGTGCAAATGGGAATTAAAATGAAAGAATTTTTCACTTACTGTTTTTTTAAATAAAATTTTGTTTTATAGTGGTTTACTTACAAAGTTATTGTACATTATTTTTCACAGTGGATCTTTCCCATTTCCTTTCCCATTTCCCATTTCCACTCCTCCCTCCCTCTACCCATCAAATTGTCTGATCCTATGATTATTCCCCTGCCCATCCTTATCCCTTTGCTCCTTCCCTCCCTCTTTAAATCCTTATACACATTTTAGTAGTTATCTTTCTATTTCTATAATAATGGTCTTTTACAGTATTTGTCCTTCTGGGACTGAGTTAATTCACTTAACCTAATGCTCTCCAGTACCTCTGAAGTTAGGTAGTGATTTTAAAAATCATTGCTCCTGCATGCTGCATAGTATTCCATTATATGAATGTACCATAATTTCTCAATCCATTCTATTGTGGTTGGAAAGCTCGACTGTTTCCATGTTCTTGCAATGATGAATAATGCTGCTATGAACATTGGTGTATAAATCTACATTTATGCCTCAGTTCTCATTTTCTTGGGGTGTATTACAAGCAGTTCAATAGCTGGGTCGTATGGAATTCCTATGTTCACCTTTTTGAGGAAATGTGAAACTGCCTTCCAGTGGTTGTACCATTTTACAATCCCACCAACAGTACATAAGTGTTTCTATCTGTCCATATCTTCTCCAACATTTATTACTTGCTGTCCTCTTAAAATTTGCCACTGATACTGGATTAAGATGATATCTCATTGTGAGTTTGACTTGCATCTCTCTTATTGCTAGGGAGTTTGAACATTTCTTCATGTGTCTGTTATCTGGATATCTTCTTTGTAAAAGGTCTTCTCATGTCATTTTTGCATTATCAGTCTTTTTCTGTTTTTTAAATTTCTTTATTTTTCATTTCAATGAACATCTACAGAGATTTTGGAATTCCATTTATTCATTGTTGTACCCCTCTCCCCGCCCCCGACCCGTTTGCTCCTCTCCTTCAAACGCAAAAGAAAAACTCCCTAATTTGTACGCAATCCCCCCCACACATCCCCCAAACCCCAAATATAATCCACCCTGCAACCCTCATCCCATACTCTTGCGATAAACATAATGCCCTAAAATATAACATATTCTCTCCCGCAAAGACTTCAATGCCGTAAACATATTTCATCCAGTTTTTCTCAGTCTTACCCCCACCCCGATGTCAGCCTCATTCTACAACAGAGGCACCATATAGCATTTGTCCCTTTGTGACTGAGATACCTCGCTCAGCATAATGTCCTCCAGGGTCACCCATTTTGAATAATATTGCATGAGTTCCTTGTATTTCAATGCAGCATAATATTTAATTGTGCGAATATACCACAGCTTCTCTACCCATTCGTTTGTTGATGGGCATTTGGGTTGTTTCCAACTCCTTGCTATGGTAAACAAAGCCACAATAAACATGGGTATGCATATATCTACTTGGGTGCCATTTATGGTCTCTTTAGTGTTTATTCCCAGTAGTGGAATTGCTGGGTCAAATGGTTTCTCTATTTGCAACTTTTTGAGAAAGCGCCA